ACGAAACACTACCTTGGTATTCATCAGGGTGTTGTTCATAGTCCAAACAAAATGTCAAAAATTTCATTAGCATTCTCTTTTCCACCATAGTGAGCTGTTTGCTGTTGAAGACATCTGCTCTAGAACAAGGTACCTGGAAAATATTTTTAATAATTTCATATACTTTCCATGCTCTGGATATGAAAAGCATCAAGAAACACCACAGTCTGATTACCTAACAAATGTTTTAAATTACTATTTTCTATTATAGATATTTACTTATATATTTATTTCTATTATCTTCTATATCTATAATGAAATTACCAATTTTCCATAATAAAAATATTTTAATATCTTTTTTAGCCTCTTCCCCTTTTTATTTCCCTTCAATTTCATTTGCACCTCTGACTGCAGAGCTAATCAAAAGAGTTTGTATTCATTAACTGTGCCAAAATCTCCTGCTGCCATTATTACACCAATGACTCCTCTTGTACATAGCAGAGAAACAAATCAAGTTTATGCTATGAAACTGAAAACCTAAAACTTGTGTATCTTTAAAAATTAACTGCCAAATTGATCATGGTCTAAATATTTGATATGAGGCAAAGATTTATGTCAACAGTTTACTCGACTGCATATTCTTATGTTGGCGTCTTTTTAACAAAAAATTTACATATACCACACACAAATGACTTTTCATTATTACAGAAATGAAAATAATCAGAATCTTAAGGAAAAACACTAGCCTATTGTTACAAAACTCTTGAAAACCAATTTCACCTTTCTTGACTTTAAAAAGATGAGTTTGAACATACACAAGACATTATTTTACAATACCTGTTCTACTCTTCCTTCTCGAAAGGCGAGGATTCGTGTCGCATTTTTAAACTCTGCATATCTGCTAACGTTCGACTTAATCAGAAGGTCAATTAACAGACCTCGGGAGTATAGCAACTACACAGTGAAGAAAAAAAGGAAATGGTAAGTAAAGAGAAAGTATTTACACCAGAAGAGTGATACCAACAGTATTCATTTGTAAGGTGTTTTCTGTAACTATTACCAGTACATACAGAGCAGTAAAACCTGAATAAAAGAATACCAAGATGTACTATGTGCAAAATAATATCAAACAAACTGAAGCGACGATACCGCTGGAAGAGACAAAGCAGTCCGTAGGAGGGAAAGGGAGAAGTGAGTCCATAGGAGAGAAATGGGGAAGCTGTCAGCCTACTGCTCATTTAGTTTGATTAGTCTGGGAGTATTAGCTTGCGATAATTGTTTTGTATTGCCACCCTGGATAATTCCTTTGTATTGTATGCTATATATCCCTGAACACTGTATTTTACAACCTTCATTTCCTAATATCAGTAAGTACATGACGCTGTCTGTGTAAATCATCACTAGTTGTTTCTTAAATTACCTGAAACGATAATGTCTCATTTTCTAAATGTAAATTCCTTAAACTCACAGTTATGACTCAGTCATACCCTGTTATATTAATTTATAACGTCTCTACCTTCACTCTTTCTATAAGCTGCAAATATATTATGAAATATGAAGGGACAAAAATGTATTAACAGAAGACATATGTCTGAACTGAAAAGCATTGGAGATTAAATATGCTTCGATCTTGTGGCCTTGAGTAACAGAATTTGCAGGACCACACAGGAATTTTGAAGATAAAATGTTTACTAGAACACTAACTAGGATACTGCAAGGAAGTGGCTCCCAGTACCAGAGAGAAACCAACACAAACCACTAGTCTTGCCCTGGTGACTAGTATTCTGCCAGAATTTCTAGAATTCATTGCAATTTACACCATATAACACTGTGGCACAGAAAAAGTACAGAGAGGATACAAAATAGTATTATCTGCTTAACCGCTACACGCTGACTATTGTTTTCATGATGTCATTCCAATCAAGCATGAAAGAGGTATCAACATTTACAGCACAGAGACCTGATTTGAAATGCTGTATTTATCCACAAAGTTAATAAATTCTTGAAAAAAGGATTTTTTCCAGTTTCCAGAGGTTTGAAAAATATTTTCATGCAGAATATGAAAAATGAAGCACTCAACTTCGAAAAAACTTCCCGCTGCAGAGTACACATATAGTCTAAAGCACAGAATTTAGGACACATTTGCATTTAACTTGAATATGCAGGGCCGTATCCATATACTGTGAAGTACGTAAAAGGCAGACTTTAGAGTTTAAACAGCATGCCAAATATGTCGGACTAATAGCTTTTCCTCCAAGCAGAACACAGCCTAGTAGGAATTCTACACAGTAACAACTACTTTCAGTCAACTTGTATGTTATGGATTAACTGTAATTATTTTTTTTTTCCAATAAAATTTATTATGATTCAATGCTTTAGTTGCCAGAAAACAAAAACTAGTACAGACAGACAGTAAGAGTTTCACAGATAAATCTAAAACCCAGGAAGCACCTCAACAGGGAAATAATTTTTAATCCTAAAAACATCCAAGTTCTGCACACAGATTTTCCTTGTTCAACTTTTTCTTTTATAGTACTATTTAAAACCAGCAATTTTGCAGATGTTACTTAAATTTATTTTATGGCCGTATTTCTGAGCCATGCTTTATGATCTCTTTGGTTACAAACAAACACTAAAGAGCACATATGAAATAGCTCTGGTTTGTTTTACAGGTACTAAGTCTCACTCACATCTCAAGAGTGTCTCTGTGTGTCAGGCCTCCGCAACATTAACGATCTCCTAAAAACTCCAGCATTTTAAGAACAGTAAATGCACTTATATGAAGAGAGTCGTTCAGTTCCTACCTTGGAAACTAAATCAATATTAAACCTTCTGCCTTCTCTAACAATCTGGGAATACGTAATTTTCTTTTGTTCCTGGGCAGAAGTTTCTGAGGGTGCAGCTTCATTTTTTCCCAATTCCAGTGCTGACTCGCCTAAAGCCGTACTAGGAGAACTTGCATTCTGGGAGGTTATTTCTGTACCATTCCCTTCCATAGCACCTGCTGGCTCAGTGCCTGTAGCCTTTTCTGGTTCCTGGCTCTCCACCTCCGGTAAGGCACTCTGCATTGGCGGGCACTCTTCTTCCGATTCCTGAGCAACTCCCTCAGCACCCAAGTCCCCAAGGACAGGCAGTTTTGGCAGTGCACCAGCTTCTTCAACATCTTCAGCTGAATCCTGACTGATTAAAAACACAAGGGGAGAAGAGCCTTAAAAACTTGTTTAAAGTTTTGAGTGAATGCCAGAATGGAAACCTCGAGTGTTACTATGGAAAGCATTAGAATTTCTTTATCCTGGCTGAATAAGGTGTACCACCCACTACAGAATTCTGGATCTTTGACTGCAAAGCTGTAATTCAAGAGGAGTACTTTTACTGAGGAGAAAAATAAAAAAAACCAAAGCCAAAAACTGAGGTCTTATTTTACATGGACTCAAAAGATGGAAGGAGCTTAAAATGAAAATGAAACCTCTCGTGGTGAAACACAATACCCAGGTACATAAACAAAAGAAATACAGTATTTTTAAAAAGAAAGAGTGAAGCAATTCGATTAGGTTTTTCATGTGGATTAAAAGAATTTTTGAAACTGAAATGCAAACATGCATTAAAGTCATTAAGCTCAGCTGTTTTAAAAACCAAACTCACGGCAGAAAAGGAAAGTGCTTTACGCCACTGAGACTACCTGGCATCCTCCATTACAGCAAGTCTGAGCTGAAGTTTAAATAAAGCTTCCAGATCACTTTTTCAACTCTGACCTTAGGTTCTGATTAGTCGTTCAAGTAACAGGCATACACAACAAGGTTCCCTCACGTAGCAAGGTTGTTACTACGCGAGTGTTACGCATTTGTGCACAGTAGATGTAGGCAGCCGGTCGAAAGGGGCGATGTTACCACACATTTACCCTGCAGAGTCCATTTCCCTTTCACGACACAGTTCTTTAAAATTCCTCTTATAAAGCACACCTCCATTTTTAATCTCCTCTACTCTTTTTATCTTGAACTTCAATGACAACTACCTTAGAAACTAGTACTTTTGAACTTAGATTTTCAGTTTATACTACCAGCTGAGATGAATCAAATCAATGTCATTGTAAGTGAAAGGAGTTCAGCAATAATTTCAGACTATCTTTTTATCTTTGTACCACAAGCCATTAATGCACTGAATAAACAATTTAATCTTGGCTGAAAACTAATGAACTATGATTGTAAAGGTGACCTGCAAACGTACAGTGCAAAATTTCAATAACTAATAGGATGGTTAAAATTCTCTGAACAGTAAGGAATTTATTCAGTATACACATGAAAATGCTCCCTCTTGCTTCTGTAGCCTTACAGATGGAAACAGAGTGCAGGATTTCTGTTAAAAGAGGGTACAAAACCCCTGTATCCTTTGAAAGTTGTTCCTCACGAACTCAGGGAGCTCACATGGACTCACCAAAATAAGTTTGGAATAAGTCTCTGGGCTTATGCACAGCCACCAGGAAGCACTTATTCATGAAAGGGGTAAAATATTGCCCTGGGAAATACAGGAACTGTTACAAGGAAACACTAATGAAAGAAGTCTGTTTCTGTACATTAATTACGTCTCTTTGCTTCACACTGCAAGCATTAAATAACTAAAAATTTTGAAGAAACGTAAGTACTCTGGTCAAATGCTTTTTTTTAAAAGTAATGTCTACAAAAATGACAAGTGAAAGTTAACTAAATTTGGGGGTTCTCTTTGGGTTTTTGGGTGGGTTTTTTTACGAATTTGGAACGTGATATTTGTGAAAACAGCAAAAGCTGTTGCCACTGATTTAATAGCTAGGAACGAAGCTTTTCTTTAAACCATCCTAGAGCTTTTTATAACACAAAAATTCAGAGGAAATTTTTCTTTCTAATTTTTTCTGAAGTCAATGTACAGTTCAATTTAATTTTAAACATACTTCATTACTGCCTTTTAAATCAAAGTAAAATTTAGATCCACAATACACTCTATTTTTCTGTACCCCTCTGAAAATGCAGTGTAACAGAAATGTTACATGTACATAGTTTAAATCTCTATTCAATTCCCATTAATGAATATGTAAATCTGCATGATTTGCAGCTCTACACATTTTATAATGAAAGCCTAAAACCAGTATATAATCTAAATTCATGACATCCTTGCTATAGGAACAAATATCCCTGAATAATGTAAGAACTGTCTACAAAAATCACTCAAATTGAACTTTTGTACAGTCAATTCTTCTCCTAATTCAGAAAAAAATAATACATCTGCAGACAAACTGTTGTGTAAATTCAGAATATTATCTTCCACCATTCATCAATTAATGGTACTAACAAAGGAATATCTTAAAATGAATGTGTCTTATTAATGCCTTGTAACAGCAACCCCTTCAGATAGGTCAAATGAAAAATTGCCAACCAGCTGGTTAATTTATTCAGCACAGGTGTTCACTATTTATTTTTCAGCCATTTGCCTTTTTTCAATACAGCTTGTTGTAGACACAGTATTCTTTTCCTTTGATGGATGCACTTTGTTCTAAGGCCATTCATTTCAGATTTGCACTGTGTATATTATACTGCTACCCAGCTGTTTATTCTTTCAAAATAAATGTTTAATGGTTACTTCATAGGAGTTATAAAAGTTAAGCAAAAACAACAGAATCTAGCCAGAACGTGTAAATTGTCAAAACCACAATAATTGACTCTCTCGGAAAGTTTTAAGTTATTTTGGAAAACTTCTTCATTGCCTGGTTTATTAATCTTCCCATTCTTCCCTGTGGGTTCTGCGAGCTTTTTGGTGATAATCAGGAGAGCATTGTACTGCCACGCTGTTAAATGCTTAAAAGTAGAATCTTCTATTTCCTCCTGGCTCGAATATAATGCTCACTATCTTAGTGCTAGGGGACTCGTTTCTGAGCTGGCCAGCAGTCAATATCACATCTTCTTAGGAATATCATATGCAAAAAGTTAAGAGGCTATGAAACCTTTAATCTGATTTAATACTGGTTCTGAACAGTATTTATTATGGCAACAGGATTACAATTACACTATTCAACTGACACTGCTGTAAACCAAGCATAACATTTTATCTGCAATACAGTCAAGCAGCTGTTACTGTCCAATATAGAACTTCGGAATAATCTGAGTCTGTGACCTTCAGATTGTCTCAGAATAATTTACACCTTTATATATATTTTTTTTCCTATCAATGATGTTTACAGAAAGAAATCCATGTTTCTATACGAGTATCTGTCAGCGTTTCATTCAGCTACCTATGATATTGTCTAAGACATTCAAGGTTAAACTTACATAACTATCGCAAAGAACCTTTCTGGAATTCAGAACAGTGTTCAGTTCAGTGCAAAATCCAAAAGATAAAAATGGTAATTGAAAACTGAACTGCTTTTCTGTATTTGTCTGAGGCCTGGACACTTTCCATTGTTACTGTGCTTGTGCGGTATTCAACATCACTGCTTCACAAGGTTACTTTTACGTGTTCCTTGATTTTCAATAATATGACCTTGTGAAAAGCTTATCTTTGGCATAACTTATATATAACAAGGTAACGTACTTCCATTTAAAAATCTAAACAAAAAATGAAATTGGTACTCAACTTCTGCTAATTCAGACGTACCTCTGCAAAGACCTATCTAAAAGGTATTTACCCCATGCTCAGTCCTAGGACAGTAAACTGTTCTTCACGTGCTTCTGCAACAAGCGTTCGCAAAAGTAAATGTATTTCAAACTAAGCGTGTATTTTTTTGCATGCTGTATGTAAAGCAAGAGCTGCGTTACCTTACTTCAAAAACAGAAAGAAGGTGACAGCCCCAAAAGGCTAACTGCTACCACATTACCACGAGCCTTTGACCACGCAGCTCCTTCTAAAGCATCATGGGTATGCACTGTTTAATGAGTAAAGTTAGATCCACTGAATAGAAAAATGACAAAGGGCAAACATTACTTTATCATTTTAGCATGGTTAAGTATTTCACAGTTACAGTACTCGCGCACATTTGTGTTCCTATTCTTGTGTACGTATTTCATTTTACATGTACTTAGGAGTTCAGCGTTTTACTATGAGAACAGCAGCTTTTAGCCAAATTAAGAATGGAAAAATGTAATAGATGGGAGTGCGTAACTACCTACTACTACTAATACCTACAAACACTTCCATTCTCTGCTCAGAAGAACATTACCAACTCACAAAGTTGGCCAACAAATAATATTGCATCCAGGTAAGCTAATTTAAGAACTATCAGTTAGCTGCCATGAAGCACAAGTGATTTCAACAAAAGCAGAGGACATTAAGAACATTTCAGAGCTCATCGTTACTTTGAGACAACACGCAACTTGCTAGTGTGGTGAAATGCTTGAAGCCAACAGGACAATATGATTATTTACCTCTGGGCATACAGAATGATTTGTGTATTTCTATATTTATACTTACTCGCCAAAACAGAAAACTTCTACATTTTGAATAGTTTTATCCTTCTTGCTAAGAGAAATAACTTCTTCATTCTCAAGGATCAATTTTCTCCAGTCTTCATGTTCATCATCGATGTCCGTCTTTTGCTTACAAAGAACAATTACAAAGTTACATTTTGTACTGTGCCAGCTGCTCCTGAACTATAAATGTCTATAGTCACACATCTACAACCTACAGAAAGACAGAGTGCAGCAGCCAGGTCAGTTTCAAGTGTTGTGACAAAACTTTCTGAACGGAGAACATATCAAAAAACACAGTGATTTGAGTATTATATTAATGTGTCCACACAGGAATCTCTAAATCATAGAACAGAACCCTGAGAATATTAATTGACATTGAGCAACTCCACTGGTTATGGCAGAAGGTAGTGCTATCTAACAAACAGGCATGAGACTGAACTGAACCAGTTCCATCTTCTACGGACCAACAGGCTCATAGTGCTTCAGTAAATAATACTAATATCCATTTGCTAATATAGTCCAAGTGCTCAGTCTCCTAAAGAAATATCCTCTTCAGAAGATTTCTAGTGGACTGTCATGAATTACATAAACGTGGCTCATCGAAAAATACCCTATCAACATTCACCTCTTTGTCCTGGTTACAGGACATTTCAAAGGAAGAATCCAGTAATTACCTTTCTCACAGTAAAGAGGAATCAGCTGAAAGCATACCAGAAAAACAAAAGGGACTGAAACATCAGAGAGAGGAAAACAACCAAACAGGAAATGGAAAAGGCCAGATTATCCTTTACAGAAAGTGCTACAAAATTAATTGAAACAATAGCGTAGTTGCTTCTACATAAATTCAAGAACCCCAGAAGTATGACTGAGCACTAGACTGCTGGGTCTCAGATGACAGTATTAATAGCCCAGGCATATCAGAGTCTTAAGACTGCTAGGCCAGGTGCATAATCTTAACCAGTAAAGTAGAAACCTCTTTGATCTGTCAAATCACCAAAGAGAAAGAGCATTGTGATAATTTGTCTTGTAATAAATTACGCAAACAAACAAGACTTAACATTAAAGATCATTAAAAGAAGTCATTTGGGAAATTTTTACCTGATTTTCTTTAATCCAGGACAGTAATCCTGAAAAACTAAAGCTGGCCCAGTTTCCACCATAGTAATTTCTCCTGCAAAGAAAAAACCAACAATGGAACTTGAAGGAAAGATAAAATATCGCTTTTTCAAGTTAGGAAAACACAACCAAGTTTGAAACATTCACAATATTTTACATGACAGATTTCACAGATACAGAATATAAAAACCGGTGTAATATTTCACAACTCTTAATGAGATGCAAAATTTCCCTTTTCACTCATTTGTACCAATCTCTGACAAAACAGACTGTGGTACAAAACCAAAATTATTTGGAAGGTAAAATGAATAATGCTGAGAAAAGCATGTGGGATGCTATGAGTAAAAGGAAAATACAGATAATTCTGCTTTTGGGCCAAGACTTGACTACACCTCTACCTCAAACATGTACATCACTACAAACATCGTCACTTAGTGTGGAGCCAAGCCAACAAGTCTGACAGTTTCAACGGAGCTCTCAGAAAAGCCAGTTCCAGTTTTTAGTATCCATACCATGCTCCACAGTTTCGGGTTCTGGCAGGACCTAACAGCTTTGCCACATGAGCACAGCTCTACTGCTTCCGACTGATGGCGGTTTGGAAGTCAACGTCACTGCACTGCAGGACACTTCCACACTAACAGTGCTTCCCGAGGTGGCTATGCAAAGGAGGGTTAAGTAAACTCCAGTTGGGTCCAGACAGTAGAAACCACAGCTCTTAATCATTACGTCAAATAAAGGACAGTTTGGTCATTTATCTACTGCTTACAGAACAATTATGCTTATTAGAAACTAAGATGATCCAGCAAAATTCTTACTAAACTGCATATACTGTAGGTGGAGCCAAAGGCACTGATTTGTTCAAGACGATCACAGCTCCCTGAGCAGTTTGTTTGTATTTACCACATTCTGTATGAAAATGTTAGTTTAGTTCTTTTAAATCACAGAAAATTAACAATTCTGCTGTTAATCAAAGAAAGTCTCTGCTCTCCCTTTTTTAAATTTTTCTGAGTATTTCTCTAAACATCACTTGGATTAATTAGCTTCTGTTATCAAGCATACCACATCTTAAATATTTAACAACTCTGACAGGAAAAATAATGGAGCAATTACGTTTTAAAAAAATCACTAGTTCTTACAAAATAAAAAAGTAATTTCAGGATTTAACTCTGTTTTCTGGCACTGAATGCTGGCACAGCAGCGTGAAAATACCAAAAATACCCTCATGAATGGATACCTAATCGTTTTGCATACGCAGAAAAAAAAAAAGGAAAATTAGGGAGGAAGATGGGGTTTGCATTTGACAGAATAATGCGAAGACTGCTAAATCAAATGAACTTAAAATCTTTTCATAACCTCCTCCACTTTTCAGTTGTAGAGATAAGTCTGATGAAAGTGGAAAATTAAAATCAGGTTTGATACTGCTATTTCAGATGGGATGTTTTTGACAAGGCTTATCTGCACTGACAAAGACTTCATTAAGAGTGTCAGCCCCTTGCAGTACCGCAGGCTGATGCTCCATGCTAGGTTGCTTACTTAGCATATGAAGGACAGATGTCTGCTAAGCAATGCCTAATTGCTCTTGACTAGAAACTGACCCAAAAAAGTCTTTCAGCTACTGCAAGGCAACAGTGGTGAACATAAATAGGACATCTTTTGCAAAGACAACAAAATCCAGCATTCGCCGAATAAAGGTGGCTGCAACAAGAGAATGTGGTTGTCTAAGGCCATGAACTGGGAGGACTGGGCCTATGAGCGAACCCGGGTAGTCCCCCCTGCCATTTGGCTACCCACAGCAGAAGAGCTCCACCTGAAGCTCTACTACCAACCACCTGTAAAAAGGAGCTCACACTTCCCTGGTGATACGACTGACATGGGTGAGGCCCAAAAACTACCGCTGTGTGGTATCATACAGAGCACAAAACAACGAGGACTGAATCTATTAGAAGCCCGCTTCCGTCAGATTTCGACCCGTAGAACAGTAACTGAGCGTTGCACGCAGCTTTGTTTCAGCTGTCAATGCTGCAGTTTAATTTCTTGCTTCTTCTTAAGATTCCCCTGAATAAAAAGTTTAACACCCATATATTCTCTGCCACTTCGGGGATTTCCAAAAAACCACAGGCATGAAGATTTATTTTTAAGGGAATCTGCTGCTTCAATTGCAAGTTTCCTTGAATATGGAATACAATCTGGCTGTCAAAGCAAGCAAGGCCATTGATCATGGAAATCACAGAAAACACCTGCCTAAAATTAGGACTGGCTTTCTTGAATCTATGCCAATAAAACTTAATGCATATTTAGAATATTTAAAATTAAACCTTTCAGTAAGAGAAATTAATATGTTATGAACACAGAAAGCTGCAAAGTTGATCTGTGAGCTGTCAAACACCTTTGATGCAAACATTTCTCTGTTCATCAGGTGGGTTTTCCTTTGAAACTGCTTTTCTTTTCAACCACCCCTGATGGGAATCGATCCATTCAACAAAGTGCTCTCTAACGCTGCTGTGAAGCTCCATCAGTTCTGAGAAGACAGTATGGCCTTTCGCAAATGGAGAATGAATCCCAGCTGCCCTTCCTCTCCCCTGGTGCCTGCGCACCTTTCCCGCTGGGATATACCACCCCAAATACTCATCTTCTTTTGAAGCACCAACTTTGAGATTTTTTTCCTGGAATTTTAATTAGTTTATCCTACGTTACATAATGAATCAGGATTGCTAATTTTCTCCTCTGAAAACACTACAGAAAGAAGGTAGATCAGACCTGATTACTGGAATAATGAGCAAAAGTTTTAGTATAAATCTTGGAGAGGAATTCCGAAGAGAGCTGACTAATGGTTTTACCACTAGCACTCCTTTGTAAGCAAATATTTTTGTTATAATTGCCCTGAAGATGAACTGAGGAATTCCTTAAAGTAATGGCCAAGATCAAAGCCTAATTAAAGCTAAAACGTTGTCCTAAAATCTCAAGGACTCAGCTCCTCTCTTCTCTTGCTATATTAGCAAACCACAACGATGGATATTCTCTGCCTTTTTTAGGGTTAGAATTCAATTATCCTGTAGGTAAGTACATAAAACATATTGAAGATGTAACAACAGAGTTAAAAATCGATTTTTCTACCAAGTTAGACAGAGCACAGATGTTTTGTTTTTCTACCATAGATTATTTCATAGATATTTGCTCAAAACTTCTCCTCTATTACGTGGATCTTCATATGCATTAAAATACTGCTGCTTTCAGTTCACATTTTTCAAATCCTGAATCTGTAGTTCAGAGCGAAGAGCAGAACTGCTGAAGTCAATTTTGCAAAGTTTTGGAAATGTAGCCCAAGTACCGTTTTACCTCAGCAAAAGCTTAATTCTCTCTTACCCTACATTGGTTTGTGATTTTTTCTTCCCTCAGTTACTAACACCATTTTTTCTTCGAATCCTTTGAAAGAATTAGCAAATCCCAGCCCAGGGCACTGAAACTGCAAATTGGTTCCAACTGATTAATATTCTTGGAATCCGAACCAAGAGAATATCTAACATGTCCTTCTGAAGACAGACTGGAACCTGAGAAACCGAGCACTTCTGCAAGCAGGGATACACAAGTAAAACATCATAAGAACAGAAAAAGCATTTCACGGCCCATGCCTGTTACTAAGACTGCCCTTCTCTGTGCCATGTCATAACAGCCACGGTGTAACAGTCAAAGCTGGTGATGACTGAGGAAAAGCTGCTGATGCCTCATGACTGCTCCTGAGAGCTGCCTGTGCGTGTCTGTCCTGCATCTGATCTTTGAGAAAGGAGTCTTGAACCGTCAGGGCAGCTGTCATTTCCAAAGGAACTTACTGCCACATCGATTTTAAGGATCTGAACACAAAATGACTTACATTTCAAACCCATAAAGTTTCATGTGCTACCTAATAAGTACACAGTCACATGTATTGAAAATTCCCATTCTGGCGTAGTAATCACGTTGAGAGCATGGGAAATGGACTACGCTTCCTTGCCTTCCAAGAGGAAAAGGTTTTAACCCGAACAGTTCCTGAGATCCTTCAGCTCAGTAAAAGGGTACTGGTGGCAGTCATTTGTACCACATTACGTTACAGCCCGGGATATGAACATGACCAAAGGTAATTATCTTGGATCAGTTGAGAACGTTTCACACTCTAATGCCTTTGCCAAGAGGTCATGTCGTACAGCAAAATAAACCTAACTTTTTTTAAAAAAGGACAAAAAATATCTGAATTAAGAATCTTTGCGTAACTAGAAGTTAATTCAACTCTTTCATTTTTCTTGCAAGAAATGTCCCTGTTCTGAGAAGCAACCTTTTTGCCCTCTGGTTTCTGCACTTACACAGCTACCTCACTTCACCGAGGTTAAAGATCAAAAGCAAGGTCACATGAAGACACAGGTTGCATTACATTCTGGATTTTACAAGTTCTGAAAAAAAGTGAGACAGATTGCCTAGCAAGAAGTGGAACAAACTACAAAAGCAGGTATCTTGGAGGGGGGGAAGCACAGGGAGAGTGCCCAGCATGCTTTTGGATGCTCAGATAAAAAGTAATTTTGGACACACGGAACACGCAAGTACTCTATGGGCAAAGTAAAGTCAAAAAAAGAGAAAGGTAACGGGTGTCAGGAAGCATGGCATGAGAAGAAAACAGAGCAAACTGGGCACAAAGGAGGAGTGAAAATCCTGAAACTTGACACTCCTTTTCCTTGGAATTAAACTCTACATGGAAACATAAGTCAGTCAACTAGGAAGGATGTAGACAACAAAAACAAAGACTACAAATGCTATATTCTAGATGCTGAAAATCAAATACAAAATGTACCTAAACATACCTCACCTCTGAGTGCCCCATCCTCAGTAACTGAACTAGTACACGACCATACAGATATATAATTATAAGAAGCAAATAAGCAAAGGACCAAAAGTGGAAAACGTAACAAGCCATCAGGAGAAAATCCTGTGCATATGAACAGTTAGTATGGGAAGTACATCCACCTCAAGTAATCAACTTTTACTCTTGATCTACCTTTCTTCAGCAACTTCAAGTTTAAACTAAGTGCCAATCTCCACATTTTAAATTGCAAATCACTTTTCTAAATCACTTCACAAATATCCTTGAAATTTCACGTCAACAGCTCATTAATATCTACAGTAAATGTAGCTCTCTAAAAAGAACCACAGATTTTACGTTTATTGAGACAGATAGCTGGCACAGAGAAATAGAGCTCCTTCAATTACTATTTGGCAGAAGCTAACTTTAGTTTAAAATCAGTCTACAGGAATTTATGGCAACACTGCAGTGAAGTGACTATTTTGAATAAGATTAGCTACTGCTGATGGCAATGCTTGGACAATGTTTATAAATCAAACTTAGAACTTAGTATTTTATAATAGGCCACTTCAAAACTATCTTCCATAATCACCTATGCAGTATATTATGATAAATGCAAACATGGCTGGAGATTAAAAGTAATAAAATGATGTACACAAGGTAATGAGTGCAAGCAAACTATAAACAAAGACTTATCCGTGTACATTTTCTATACCTTGTGCCTAACTTCATTATGACTTTTATAGAGAACAAAAAATTAATCAAAGTAGCACACCTGACACAAACAATTATTTCAGTAACCCCAAATCTTATTTTCTTACACTCTGAAAATAATTTAAACTCATGATCCCTTAAGAAGGGAACAACAAACATATAATTTATATTTTGTATGTGTCAACATATAAATATAAAATCAGTAGAAACAGGTTTTTTATTAATGAATTTTCAATTATAGTGTTACCTCAGTGTAATGAAACTTGAAAATTCATCTGGAAATGAGTGTATTAAGCTAGATATACAGTAGATAAAATGAAAATGTTTTCATTCAGCTGGATCTCTGGCAAGTTTCCTAGGACTTAACTTTTCCCTTCAAGTTCCAGTGGCACCAGGGCGAGGGGGTTCCGTTGGTTTTGGTAGGCTTTTTTTGCAGGAGTACTAAACTGAACACGAAAAGCAGATGGCTTCAAATGTTCCCCCATTTATGGGGCAGGAGTTGTACAGTATAAACATACCTATTTTTTTGGCCAAGATACGGATTCCAGACCATGATTCGGTGAGCACATACACCCATTAAAATGGCAACTATTAATATGAGTGAAGAACACCTTGGTTAAGAACACCTTCCCCTGACCTCAGCCTGCACCAGAGCTGGAAAACAACTCCATAGCTGGAAGCAATCAAATGTTAAAACCTTCATTTTCATCATTAAAAAAAAAGCATGTGTGAATGTAAATGAGCACATTTAAGTGAAAACAGTAATAAACAAAATCTGTATTCCACAGTTCTAATTGCCTGTTTCTGAGAGTTTTCTGAAAGGCTCTTCATCATAGCTAAAAATAGGCATGGATAAAAGAGAACAAAGTTCCGGTGGCTAACTATTATTACAGACTTTGACAGGCAATGGATATGAAAAACTGAAATAACAGAAGTTATGTACTCTACCGATAATATATGCATTAAGCTTAAAATCCAAACATAACTATTTTATTCATTCTATATCTGCTTAGTCTAAAATAAGGGGGTTTGTATTTTGGTTAGCAATATAATAGCTAATTTAAGAATTACTGTTACTAAGTGTTTGAAATTGGCATCCCCTTATACATTATGCATGAAGTCTTTATAGTAACTTCAGTATCACAGTAGTTGCATACTTCTTCAAAATTATTATAATCTTCAGAGCTGTCTTTGTTTCACCTGAACCATTAGTTACATTAAATATGGAGCACAAGTACCACCTTGCTGTGTACTATCACACTGTGATGTAAAATACTAGAATATTAGTCCATTTAATGACTTTTCCTTGCAGTTTTTGGAGTTTTCCATAGGTTCTGAGAGTAGTCCCCAGTGCCTGAAGATTCATTAAGACAAGTTCTTAATCCAAATGGTCTCCTACTGATAACGACTACTGACTCTGAAGTGCATTACCGGCCTCACTCCAGTCCAAGACAGGAGGCCAGAGACTTTGTGGCAGAGTAACAGTGAACTGGGCAATTGCAAAATCATATTTCATGCAACCAAGGTAGTGAGCTAGTCCTGCACATTTTGAAGTTGTGTATGATTTCAAATTAGAAATAAATGTATGAGAAATGAATGGTTCCTTTGAAGGGCTGTAGGCAAGGGAGAATTACAGAAGTGTAGTCTTGAACTGATGATGTTCAGAGAAAATGAACAGCAGAAAGCATACACTTTTTAAGCTCTTGGTGGAAAACACAAGAAAACACACAGAAAAACTGTCTCTGTGAAATGTCTCTCAGCCTAGGTGCTGGACACACAGGAACTGTCATATAAAGGGAAAAACTCAAAAATATGATGTAGAAATAAAACACCAACCTTACAATTTTTGGCAACCTAGTACTAATAATCAGACCATCTAAGCTCACAGCTACAGGGCACCTGTAAAGGTGCAAAGGCCACCTCTTGCTACATTCCACCTCAAAACCTTCTGTCAACACTTGTCTGCCGAAATCCAGCAGAGAAGGGGTAACAGGTTCCCTGAAGCTAGTCTCCACACAGACTTTTACTGGTAATTAACAAAGTTATAATTTTACAATTAAACACACAAGATATTTTCTTCCCCCCACCTTGAGATAACATTTTATCACATTATCCACCTTGGTTGCATGCACAAATATTCACCACAGCTGAAATACAGAAATTTGTTTAAATTTATTAGGCATTTTAGGCTACGTGACAACATTCGTCCGAAGCAGCACTGATTAGGTTGTCCCTGCTTTCTGCTTATGACCCTCTCCCAAAACTGCATTAGCCCATCCTACAGCCCGTCTGCACTAACAACAGGACTGAAAAAGTCGCAAGGGGACAGGAGTCAGCAACAATAACAATCAGTGGCGATGTGGCCAAAAACAAAGCGAAAAAGCTGTGTAATCATACCTTGATCTCACAAAATGAACCGCAGCAGGCACAGTGCAGGTGTCTAGCACAGAAATCTCAGGAAATACATTGCATTTGTTATCTTCTAGAAAAACACAGACAGTAAAGCAGCCTCAAAAGCTGCTTAGTAATGACAGATCGTCTCAAAAGAGTTATGAGAAAATTAGAGTTCGGAAGTGCTAGATGGGAGAGAGGAGTATTTTAAGAGTTTGTCTTGGCTGGCTGAGGCACCAGCATTTCATCTCAAGCTTGCCTCAGAAACCAGAGCTCTGGACTTGAGTCATGCTACTAAATTTTGCTGAGCACGTGTACAAATAAGCCAAGGTTCAAAGATCCTAAATTTTTTCTATATAAATGAAAGCCACTAAACCTGTAACCATTCCTGTCTGTACAAAAGAAGGAGCCATCAACAGCATCCTTGACCACATCACTTACATTCCATGTTACTGAGCTAACATACAGAAATTTCCTGTTCTATTGACAGAAATAAAACCCAAAAAAAAGCGTAAAATTACTTTATGCCAGATGAACACAAAACACAAGTCCTGAAGAGTAAACAGACACCGAAACACTTCTAGCCACTTTAAATCTTAAAAAGGAAAATTATAGGAGTAACTTACGAATCAACATGAAGAACACTCTGGCCACTTCTGGCACATGCTGCTGCAATAATAGATTCAGGCAAACCTGAAAGGACACATGCAATTTTTAGAACTCGGCATGCTAAGATATATTAAAGAATTAAATAAAGGTAGAACCTGGTCAGAAACAGGCAATTCAAAATACTGTCAGTCACTGAAGTTTTCAACACTCTTATGCTACCCAAATAATAAACACTATTTTGTGTTCATGAACATTTTGCTATGACCCCCTTGAATGCAACACCTTTTTCTTTAATAACTGTATGGCACATGCCACTTGCAAACACTGCTACCTCTGAGTTAAAGCTTGTCACCAGTGTCTTCTCTAAACACCTTGTTACCACAGACTGAGCACTTGTCAGTGCAATGATACCTGCGTTTTACTGGGATGCTCCGTAACTGCATGCCTCCTGATAAAGACAGGTATTATCAGAGAGCATTTTTGTGTACTTTTGTTCACAGTGTCTGACATAATGTGAAGACTGTGTAACAAACCATTGTTTGGTTTTGGTGCTTTAAAATTAAGAAATGTATGGTAAATGCTGTGTGTCCTAGTACATCAAGGATGAATCGTAAGGAAGGAGTGAGGGTATAAACCTGCCAGGATGGCATTAAACAACTGTGTAAATTAGGCAGAGTCCTGCACAGTGCTGTCTCCTTCATACCATGTGTTGGCAAACATCTCCAGTGTGAAAAGGTCTCACAACAACAACGCCAGGCAGCGCTACAGGCTTGGGGAAGAGTGGCTGGAAATCTGTCAGGCAGAAAAGGACCTGGGGGGGTTGGTCAACAGCAGCTGAATATGAGTCAGCGTGTGCCCAGGTGGCCCAGAAGGCCAATGCCATCCTGGCCTGCATCAGGAACAGTGGCCAGCAGGAGCAGGGCAGGGATTGTCCCCCTGTACTGGGCACTGGTGAGGCTGCACCTCAAGTACCGTGTACAGTTTTGGGCACCTTATGACAAGAAGGACACTGAGGGGCTGGAGTGTGTCCAGAGAAGGGAACGGAGCTGGGGAAGGATCTGGAGAACAAGTCTGATGAGGAGCAGCTGAGGGAGCTGGGGGTGTTCAGCCTGGAGAAGAGGAGGCTTGGGGAGACCCGATCACCCTCTGTAGCTCCCTGAAAGGAGGGTGCAGAAGGGCAGGTGCTGGTCTGTTCTCCCAGGTAACTGGTGACAGGACAAGAGGAAATGGCCTCAAGTTTGGTCTCAAGCTGCAGCAAGGTGGGTTTAGATTAGATATTAGGAAAAACTTCACTGAAAGATTGGTCAGGCATAAGAACAGGCTGCCCAGGGAAGTGGTGGAGTCACCATCCCTGGAGGTGTTCAAGGAACATGTAGATGTGGCACTTGAGGACGTGGTCTAGGGGGTATGGTAGTGTTGGGTTGATGGTTGGACCAGGTAATCCTATAGGTCTTTTCCAACCTTAGCGATTCTGTCATTCTGGACATTGTTTCTGACTGAATTAATTAGTTTGCTCCAACAGAGTGCCCAGAAGCACACTCAAAATTCTGCACGCAGACTAAGCCCGAGTGTAAACAGAAATGCTAAACTGACAGTGCAGGTGTATTTTCACTTCACATTCAAGGGACGGAATGAATGCGAGATGGTTGTCCTTAAAGTGGTATCCGTATCAAAGTCTCCCACATCATGCAATTACACTCTGTCAAATCAGTATGTTTTCACTACATTTAGAAAATATATGTAGTAGAAAAAGACAACCAAAAAGCTAGTGATATTTCTCTACCAGCAATACTTGCTTGGAATGGCACATGAACACAATTGGAAGTTTAATAAATAAATGAGGCTGTTCTCTAACTTCTACTCCCACTCACCAGATTTCTACATGCACAGATTTCCCACATTATTTCTATGATTTCTACATTTCTACATGTTAGATGACTTAGATTTCTGACTAGATGCAGAAAATAAGCATAGCTTGCTATCTAAAAAGCTGTACGGCACTAGCTTTGCTGAAACCTCTTTTTAAATGCTCTACTGGCTGTTCAAGCAGGTAATTCAGTAAAAGTGATTAAAATTCTAAGGGACAGGTATTAGGAGACACTTAGGCTACGCATTCAAAGAAGGGATTAGATTAAACAAAGCAAAAGGAGTGGTTCACTGATCTGACTCACAGTGTAGCGCCAGAAGCAGCTGCACTAGTACAACTGAAGAGACAGAACTGACAGCGGAAAAAGCAGGCGTGGTAGGGCACAAACTTCTTTGGCTAGCTTTGTGCCAAACACCATCTTCATGAGAACTTCAGGCCTGCAGCTGTTACTTCTTCAGAGAGAATACTGCCTTCACAAATTAATAAAAAGTGAACGTGGGGCCAATCCGACGATTCATTTAAAACACAAAATGCTGTATGTTAAAGGTTACTGGACAACCAGTTACTACTTGCAAGATATCAGTTTTCACTTACCTAGAGCAAGAAGCTTAAGCTTTAATGGGATATTAAGTACAATTTAGCACTCACAGAGACAGGGACAAATAATTTCAAATGGTTGAACTAGTCTTTATTAATTCTAGAACCTGAAATGCAGTCTAGAAAACACCTAGCGGAACTTTGATACACAGGACCATAGTTTCATGAACTCTTTAAACCAGCAAACACAACCATGAAAATAATGAGGTTCAACCTCTCTGTCCTTTACCTTTGGCTATTCCTGACCTCCTTCCATGTGAAGTAGATGGTCACCAGACAGTCCAAACGTACAAATGGTTATATCAGTAGAAGGAAGGAGGTTTAAGTCATGCATGACAAATTTTCTGAGAAAACAGCTCTAACCTCCCTGCAAATATTCCATTTAATGTTTACTATTTTGACGGATTAAAAAATAAAATCCCTTTCTGAATTTATAAACCAGGAAAAGTTACAATAGTTTTGCACTGCTGACCTTCCATGGCAAGTGGAGGCTTATCACGGAATTAATCTCTGGAGGTAGAAAGAGGGATGAAAAATTGCATCAGTTCCTGGGACATTCATTTCGCTGCCTAGTAAGGCTGATAGGCTATTTAGAGTTACATTTTCTGAAGAACTCAAAACAGACCATTGTAAACACAGAAACAAGGAACAAACACGCAACTGCAGCACACACTTCAGGACGGTCACAAGATCCGGGATGCACACAGCCTTATGTGAAAGCAACTCCACATCCAGCTGTCCTCCAGAAGAGTTTGTATACACAGGTTTCATTTCCTCAGTCTATAACCTATCTGGAATTGAATCTACAACCACTATTTTGTTTGCAGTTCCTGAAAAAGGTTTTCTTTCCCTCATTTGGGACAGAGAATATTACTCTAGAAATGGAATTGAGAAACTTGTTTCTCCTTCCTTGTTGATAAAAGCCACCGAGAAAGTGTTGTAAAACATCACCGGTGCTGCCTGGCTGACCAGGACTGGAGTTATAGCTACTAGGGCATAACTGATTGCTTTAAGCTTGAGCCAATTGATGCTGTGTTGGAGGTCTGTTCTTCCATTAACCTTGGATGAAATTGTTCCCTGAATTAGCTTCCTCGTTCTTGAAAGCTGGCATCAATTTTCTTCACCAACTCTTTGCTTGTAAGATGCTGTGGCCCCCCAAGTACCCACGGGCAACAGAATGAGAAAGTGTAAGAAAGGCAAGGCCCATGCATTTCAGCTTTTGGAGAGGCTCTTAGAACAACCTGATGGAGCAAGGCACCATTCATTCTGACATGACAAAACCTCGGCAAACCAAAGAAATAAAACTCTGCCTTGGCACAAGTTTCTGAATTCTCTCTCCAACAGAAATAAAAGCGCACAGAAAATGGGTAGCTTTCTCAAATGGAAGGTACTCCGACATGTGATCTGGACTGCATGTAGTTACTTTACAAAACCCTTTTCCAAGTAAGAAGGCTCTGGTCAACAGGGTGTTAGAATATCCTTATAGATAATCCCTCTCTACGTAAGAAGAAAATACCTAACTTGGAAAAGCCTCCCTAGGGAAATGACAGAGATGTATTTAATGACAGCAGGTGAAGCTGAACTATCTCATACAGGATGCTCACACAGCTCTGCAAATTAGGCCCCCTTCAGATTATTCAGTAACATAGGAATATATTTTTTCTATAAATTGTTCCTATTTGGAAACAGTTCCCTATTCTGAACTTTCATTTGTCAAAAACTCTAAACTAGATTATAGTCACATTTTGAAATGCGTTCAGACCCTTCCTACAGGGCAGAGCATGCTCCAAAACTTCTCACTCACAGTCGGGTTTGAAGGTAACGATGTATTACAGAATTCAAGTGATTGGAGGGGAAAGGCTATATCCCGAATACTGATTCTGAAGTTTCACTTATGCCTAATGAGTCAATAAAGGTAGGTACCTCTAAGCTGTTTGTCTCATGAACGATTATTCTAATGCTTCCTGCCACTCATCCCTCCTAGCGAACAAGTCAGCTTCTGGGTTTGCCAGTTTAAGGGATGAAGGACTTAAGACTATAACCTGTGACACATGATGTTAATGTTTTTGAACAGGCAGCTGAGTAATGATTGGGATCCAACAACTTGGATGAAAGAACAGCAAGATCTAAATGAGAATCCACATTTCCTTTTAGATTATAAAAAAAATTAATCTAAGATTGTACTGCTATAGAAATTAGTAATCCAATTACTGGAATCATCAAGAAATCTGCCCTCTGGTATAATTAATAGTAACCGATATTTTCCTATTGAGCTATTATGCACATTAATTACTGTGAAACACAGCAAATATCTAATTTTATTGCATCTGAAATTAAAAGGGCTACTGCAAAAAAAACATTTTCTTAAATAAGGTTCCAAATCCAGATAACTTTTAGATTTGCACTGGTATTAGGAGGAAGTAAGAAGCCTGAATAGGAATCACATGATCCAACCACAAGAAAGCAGCAACAGATCCAGACTCCAGTATGTTATACATTACATAAATCTCTTTTAGGCTGCAAGGTGTTGAGGAATAAGGAGTCCACACAATCCTTGTATCAATTTAATATGCTGACTCAGAAGTTCTCCCTATTTGAGGCAGAATCAATTCAGAAATAG